CGAAAACAATTTAAGAATATCATTTATAACGATATGGTATGAACTATGAACATATCGATAATTTTTCAAGGTGTGCATCAAAACCACGACATTGTATTTTATATACTAAAACATTATTTATATTTTTTTTTTTTTTTTTGTACAGGGACCTTCCGGTTTTCGAATCCACAGGGGAACTGACTAATCCGAAATCGAGCCGGATAGGACCACAAGGACGGCAAAACTCTCCCTCAAGAATTTTAACACTGTTGCATTTATTATGTTTTTATTATTTTTTTTCAAAACTAACCATATTCTTAGGCTTTTAGCATATTCTCATTTGTCTCAAGTGATAGCCTAAACAAAATCCTATCATTGCATTTTAACCATATTCTCAAATAAAATTTTATAATTATATTTTAAATGATCTCTATGATTCTTTTCATATACCACTTGCAATCTTTAGAAATTTTTTGTCACAACAAATTTATATATGATATCTAAAAGGTAGTGATTTTTTATCACAACAAATTTATATATGATATCTAAAAGGTAATAAAAAATCTCTACGGTAATATATGAACCATTGACTCACTACTAAAGTAAAATTATTAAGATTCTAATTTTTTGTTGATAATCATGCTATTTTCTTTATTTTATCGATCAGATATTCCGATCAAATTCTAATTTTTTTTGAAAAATAAAAAATTAATAAAATCTAGATATAACATCAAAATCATTCCGATTTTACAGTCTCATTTTACTAACTCACAGTAAAAAAGTGCAAATCGTCTGATTACATAAAAAAAAAAAGTATTCATTGAATACGTTTTTCACATTTTGTTTATCAACTAATATATTTATATTAATTAGAAAAATAAAATTATTTATCAACTAATATTATTATATTTCAAGTAGTTATATGACATAAGTTATAAAAACTAATATAATATAACACATGTAAGTCATAAGTAACACATATCATTCTAAAATATATAGTAATATTTTTTTTTGTAAAAAAGTAAACTAAATTTAATATAATTTTCTCATTAATTTTAAAATTTAAGAATAATTTTTTAACAAGCACTCGTGTAATACACGGGTATTGTACTATCCCCCTATATATTAATACAGAATGCGCTGAGCCTACGTGGCTGCTTCTGGTGCTTCGGAATCCTATGTGACAAAATTACATGCTTCGTTATTAGGCTTTGGGTAAATTTTAATTTAATTCCAAACCAAAAATAATTAGGTTCGGATTACCATAAATATGTTGATTATTTATGGCAATGTTACATGTATTGATTGTATT